GGTGGGGCACAATGTATTCCCGTCCACCAATGAAAAAAAAAAAAAAAAAAAAAAAAAAAAGTCTGGTGTAGTGATACCACCTGTAATCCCAGCTGCTCGCAGGACTGAGGCATGCAGATTGGGACCCAGAGAGACCCAGTCTTAAAAAAACAAAACACACATACACGAGTGTTTGACAACCAGCTTAGCAGGGGACACTGCCCCGTCTGGACAGCTGGAACACAGCCTATGCCTGGCTGCTAGCTGCTGGATCTGGGGAGGTCTGGGGGTTCCCAGGGAGGGTCCAGAACAGCAGGACAGATGCCGAAGCATCAAGGGAAATATGTTAACATCTAAACAGCAGGACCAGCTATCCTGTGTTGAGGGCAGCTTGGGAGAGAAGCTCCTCATTGTACTTCTTCTATATCTTTTGAACTTTTGACCTGTATCACCTTCCCCCAAAATACCCATTTAAGTCGAATTTACAACAAAAGAGATTGAATACAAATTAGAAAAGGCCACGGAATCAGAAATCAGGATGGAAATGAACAAACCCTGGCCTCCCATAGCCCTCCCTGTGCCCAGGGCCCGTCTCCGGGGTCCCCAGGGTCTTGGGGACCTACTTCTCCAGCAGCTGGGTCACGGCCTCCTGGGCCTGCTCCCCATAGGCATTGCCCTGCCTCAGCAGGCCCTCCGCAGCCTGCACGGCCACCTGCATCTTTTGCTGGTTCAGCTCCATCGTGGTGAGAAAATCTCGGTGCCGTTTCAGTGCTTCTTCCACCGATTCCACTGTGCCCGGGAGCTCCATGCCAGACAGTGCCATCTCCTGAGAAGCGGAGGGATGGTGTAAAGGTCAGCTTCCCTCCAAATCTGGACCCAGGAGAAACTGCTGCCAGCTTGGCTTGCCACCACTCTCTTCTTTGCTAGTATCAAATACGCCAGGCGTGGGCCCGTCTCAGGGCCTTTGCCCAGGCTGGCTCCCCTGCCAGGCAGTCTGTCCCCCCAGATTACCCTGAGGCTGGCTTCTTCGCTTTCTTCAGGTCCCTAATCACCTTGCCAAAAACATCAAGCCTCGCCCCAGCTATACCCGTTTACCATTGCCTATACCTGCCATATTACATGTGCGTTTATTTCTTACTGTCTCCTCCCTGACAGACACACACTCTAGAAAGTCTGCCGGATGAGGGTGAGATTTTTGTGTTTTGTTTCTAGAGGTGTGTTCAGCCCACAAAATAGTGCCTGCCAGAGAGAAACCATTTAGTAATTATTCAGTTAATTGATGAAGACTGAACCAGATGCACTGTGACCTCAAGGAAGTGCTTTCCCTCTCTGGGACTAGTTGTTAACTTCCTTTCTTTCTCTGAACCTTTCCTTTCCTTTCCTTTCCTCTCTTTCCTTCCTTCCTTCTTTCTTTCTCTTTCTTTTCTTTTCTCTCTCTCTGTCTGTTTCTTTTCTTTTTTTTTTGCTTTTGCCCTAGGGCACTTGTGCTCACCAGAGAGACAGAGAGTGGGAAAGTGAGAAATCAGAAATCATCTCCTAGGGGTGACAGCCATATCACAATTCCTTCTCCATTCTCTTCTTGGGGTTTTGGACAGGCATGTGTGCACCTGGTGTGATTTTCAAGCCTCAAGGTCCAGGACTCCAATAGCTGTTGGCGATGTGGGAGTTCAGTGCCTTAACCACCAGCGACTGGCTGGCCCCAGTTGTTAGTTTTCTAACTGGCAATTTGGGTGGGTCAGGAAAAGTCTCTGAAGGCCACTTTCAGCACTGTATTAGTAACCTCATGATTGAAGGGCTCTTTGTCTCTCTCCATTCCCACCCCCAGATAATCCTCAAACGGATTCAGTGTCCCTATCCCCTCATAACAAACATAGGTGGTCACCCTTTCTAAGATGATTGTTGGTACCTCTTTGTGGGCAATCTGAGAAGTGGGCGTTCTCTTCTTGTCAAACTCCTCAAACTTGGTTCCCATCCCAGAATGATCTGCAAACTGGATTGGTCGCCCTCAGATAACTACCACACTTGATTCCTCAAGGCACAATTACCATCTCCAGAGAACTCCCAAATGTCATCATCCCGAATCATGAAGATAACACGCTAATTTAGGCACCCACAACCATAGAATCCACAGTCACTAACTGACCTCAGTAATCTTGCAGCCTGTTACCTGCCTGCATCGTCTTAATCCTTTGCTGTCCACCCCAAGGTGGTCTCTGAACTCTATTTAACTATCATCAATCAATCTCACACTCTTATTTTCCTTCCAGACAATCCACAAACCCAGAAACCAATCAGTAAATACCCAAATGCATTACTTGAGATAACCCACACACTGCCACCTCTGATAAAGCACAGTCCACGCCGGACATCAGCGTTCTGTTATGCACAGCCCCCACCTACTCCTACTGCGTGATCCACAATATCGGTTAGCCACCGTGGATATCCAACGCCCACCCACCTCAGATAAGCCACGAACCCAGTGATCCCGACAGACACACCCTGTCTTCTCAACTCCCCGCGGCCTCGTACCCCGACCCTGCACATCTTTAGCGGGCACCTGGTTGCGTAACACCGCGAGTGCCTGGCGCAGGTCGCGCAGAAAGAGCTGGTAGACGTGCGCCTGAACCAGCGCCTCCCGGCGCGCCTCCCACAAGCCGAGCAGCTTGTGCCAGCCGACTTCAAGGTGCGGCAGCCACTCGTCGAGCGCCAGGCCCGGGCCCAGCTCGGCGCCGTCCGCCGCCAGTAGCGCCTCGCTGGCCGCCACGATGCGGGCGTAGTCCTCCTCGCGCTGGTCCACCTCCTCCTTGAGGGCAGCGTGGCGCGTCAGCAGAGCATCCGCTTCTTCCAGGCTGTTGGGCAGGGGCCCCTCGCTGCCCCCAGCCGCCTCCTGGGCGCGCACCAGCCAGTCCAGGAAAGCGTCCAGGTCGTGCAGGAAGCGCTGCAGTCGCCCGGCTGCCGCCACTGCCTCACCGCAGGCCTGAGCCGCGCCGGCTAGCGCGCCCCACTCGGCGCCCAACTCCTCGGCGCCCTGGTGCAGCCGCGCCGCCTGCGTCGGGAAGCGCGCAGCCACGGCGGGGCTGCCTCCTCAAGAGGGGCTGCCTGGCGCGGCTCGAGCGCTTGCAGAGCTGCCTCTAGGCCGCTAAGGCGCCACTGCAGGGCGCCGCCCGCGCGAGGCGCGCTCTCCACCGCTCGTCGCTTCTCGCGCACCTGGGCGCGCACCTCGGCCACCTCCAGCACGTGGTTCTCCACCAACAGCACCGCGCTCACCTCCTCTTTGCGTTGTTCCACCAGCTCCACAATGCGGTTCCACCTGCCCAGGAAAAAGAAGGCGGTTTGAGGAGAACGGGGACTCTTCTTGGGAGGGGAAGCCAACTTGGTAGAATCCATGCCTTGGCCACCCAGCCACTGTGTGACCTTAAAAATTAACTCTACCTGGGACCAGCAGTTAGCATATGTTGCTGGACTCCCGTGTAGTGGACCGTGGTTCGAGTCCCGGACCTAGTGGCTTAAACTCAAGCCGGGTGAGTGTGCGTGCATGCCCAGGATACAAAGAGGAGAATGGAGGAGAAGGAATTGCGGCATGGCCATCCCCCCCTGGGGGGTGATTTCTCGCTTTCTCTCTCTCTCTCTGCCTTTCTGCCGAGCACATGCGCCCTATAGCAAAAACCTCTCCAAAAAAAAAAAAAAAAATTAACTGTACCTCACTGAGCCTCAGGTTCTGCCTTTGTAAAATGTAACACCACCAGGCACATTGCTTAGAGTCCCATTTTCCTCCTTTCTAACATGGGGTAATTTCCATCACACAGGGTTTGCAAGCAAACTGATTATTTGATGAATTCAGACAGAACCGAGTTTGACCTATACTTATCAGACCAAGTCATCTTGGATAAGGGTCTCACCTCTTTGGATCTGTGTCTTCACCTATGAGGCCCACCTACATTGGGAGAATTGTTGGGAAGTTTCCAGCAGAAAAGGTATTGATTCGCTACTATCTTAAAGAATTCTGAATTCTGGACAGTTTACCATGGAAAGTGGAATATTGCAAGCTAGTACAAGGCATATAAAGTGCTTGGAAAGGTTCCTGGAAGATTGTATTATTTTTTTCTATGAGGCACATATGCTTACCCAAGAGAGACAGAGAGGGCACCTTCCTCCCCACCCCACCCCTACCCCACAGGGTGGAGATGGCCACACTGCAATCTCTTCTCCATCCTCCTCTGAGGATCTTGGGCACACATTCACATGTGCCTAACACATTTTTCTTTCTTTCTTTCTTTTCTTTTTTTTTTTTCATAAGAGAGATTTTTTTTTTTTTTGCTATAGGGTGCGTGTACTCACCAGAGAGACAGAGAGACAGAAAGTGAGAAATCGTCCCCCGGAGGGATGGCCACACTGCAATCCCTCCTCCTCCTCCATTCTCCTCTTGGGATTTTGTTCACATGCCCATCTGCCTGGCATGAGTTTCAAGCTCCTAGGTCTGAGACTTGAACCATAGTTGGCTATGTGGGAGTCTAGTAACCATCATGCCATCTGCTGGTCCAGCCTGATATGTTTTTCAAGCTGTCAGGTCAGGGACTTGAAACATGCAGTTGGCCATGTGGGATCCAGCTGCCTTAACCACCATGCCACTGGCCAGCCCCAATAATCTTCACTGAACAAATAAATGAATAGCTAACTGAAATGTATTGTATCATTTTATCACATCATCACTAGCATCAGGTGCTACCATTTTCTGTCAAGAGTTTGCTTTTGTCAAGGTGGCGTGGTGGTTAAGGGTGCTAGACTCCCACATGGCCAACTGTGGTTCGAGTCCCAGACCTGGTGGCTTGGTTTCTTGCTTTCCTTCTCTCTCTGCTCTTCTCTGGTCAAATTAAATAAATAAATAAAATAATAATTTTTTTTTAAAGTTTGCTGATTTATCAGGTGACCGTTATCATCTCAGATGTTTGAAATCAGACCTCCTTGATTTTTATGGCTGAATGAATGTGGGAGGGAATGACTGGAAGAACTTGTGTGAGATACCAGAAGAACTTCCAGCTCCAGGCTCCACTTACCTGCTGTTGAGGTGGTCCTGGCAAGAGCGCACCTCATCTGAGCTGGGGTGACCTCCTTCCACCAGCTCTTGGACTGTGTGGTTCACATCCAGGACACGGCCCATCAGACTGTTCATCTCCTGGTCCAGGCTCTCGAAACTGCAGAAGGAAGATGGAGGTTCTCAGAGTCCTTGACCCAGGGACCTGCCCACATCTTGGCTTTATGAAACTCTCTTCTGGGTCCAGTCACAAAACCTGCCATGCCTTAGGCTTCTCTAGGCTCCTCATACCCTCTGCAACTCAACGTGATTTCAGTATTCCCCTTCAGGTGTGTTCTTCCTCTGGGTCCTCATCTCAGGGACATCCCCACTGGGCCTGACACCAAGGCCTCATTTGGAACAATGTCCCACCTCACTGGCTCCCAGTGGTCTCTCCACTTGGCCTCCTATCCTGGTCCAGTCCTATTCCTCCAAACAGTATTTCTGAATTCCCAGCCACCACTCTAACTCCCTCCAGCCCGCCCTCCACAGGGCAGCCAAGGAGATCTTTTTATGCTAGGCATGGTCCTCCCTTGTTTAAGCAATTGGGTAACTGTGGGTATGGTAAAGGTGAAGAGTGGGGATGAGTTTCCAGCAGTGCCCACTGTAAGACTTAGAATGGTTCTCAGTAAATGGCTGTTGGATGGAGAATAGATGAATGAGAAGCTCAGGGAGAGAAATGCAGAGGGAGAACAGTCATTGTTCATCCACTAATTTAACAACTCTTGCTGTCAGCCAACAGATCAGTATATATGTCTCAGGAGGATAAGTGCCATGAAGAAATGTAAAGCATTGGGGAGACTGGCAGGTGACGTGGTGGTTGGGGTGCTGGACTCCCAAATGGCCGGTCGCAGTTCGAGTCCCAGACCTGGTGGTTTGCTTTTTCACTTTCTCTCTCTCTCTCTCTCTCTCTCCCTCTCTCTCTCTCTCTCCCTCCTTCTCTCTCTCTCTGTCTCTCATGAGCATGCATACCCTATAGCAAAATTTAAAAATGATGATGATAAATAAAAATTTTAAAATAATTATGTCTAAAAACACATTAAAAAAAGATAAGACATGTAAAACATTAATGAATGAAAAAACGATGAAGCAGCAGAACGTGACAGGGGTCAGACCTATTATATTAACTAGGGAGGTGACATCTGTGCAAGAACAGTGGAACTCCCATGGAATGGACTAAGCTGATGTCTTTTTTTTTTTTTTTTGAGAAGTTTTTGCTATAGGGTGTGTGCGCTCACCAGAAAGACAGAGACAGAGAGATGGAAAGCAAGAAACCCCCGCCAAGGAAATGGCCATGCCGCAATCCCTTCTCCTCCATTCTCCTCTAGTTGGGCACACACGCACACGCGCCCAGCGTGAGTTTAAGCCACTGGGTCCGGGACTCGAACCACGGTCAACTACATGGGAGTCCAGCGACATAGCCATTACGCTAACTGCTGGTCCCATATCAACCCTGTTTTACCCATGGGCAAACTGAGGTTCAGAGAAGTTGGGCAAGTTGCCAAACTTCCCAAATCTGGGTAGTTTCAGCTGAGCGAACATGAGAGCTGTTAAATCAACGAAGAGGAAACTGCATGCGTGAGGAATAAGACCCGGGAGTCTCCCAAGAACGTGCTCACCGGTGCTGCACCACCTCGACGTCGTCGAGTGAATCCGGCACACGCATGGAGAGCAGCCATTGCTCCTTCTCTCCAATCCACAGTTCGCACGCGTGCACCTCGCCGAACATGCGGTAGACCGCGAGCGCGTCCCGCAGCCACTGGCGCCGCAGCGCAGCCACCTCGGTAACCTCAGCAAACAATTGCTCAGCTTCCACCACTCGCACCTGCAGTGCCACCACCAGCGGTCCGGCACCGCTGGCGCCCCCGAGTGTAGCCAACTGGCGCCTCAAGCCGCCCACAGGTCCGCGATGCGCCTCCACCTCCCCGGTGAGAGCTCGGTGCTGGCGCGCCAAGCGGCGACTGGACGCTTCATCGTGGCCAAAGTCACCGGCAGCTGCCAGACGGTAAGCGGCGCGAAGCCAGTCCAAGAGCCCGTCGAGGTCCGCCCCGAACTGGTGCAGAGCCCGCGCTTCCTGCAGCCGCCGCTCGCGCCGCGCCGCAGCCTCTTCCAGCCTTTGCCATCGGCGCCGCGCACTCGCTGCGCGCTCCGCCAACCCGGCCAGGTGCACCGTCTCGGCGCCTGGACCAACGGTGCCTCCGGCCGCAGTCAGTTCCTCGCCACGCCGCAGGGCCTGCTGCAACAGCGCCCGCCGCCCCCCCAGCTCGCCTTGCAGGATCTTGTGTTGCGCCAGGAGGCGCGCGGTGCTGGACAGGTCATGTGCGCCGCCCGCTGTGCCGGCAACACCCGCCGCGCCGCCGCCACCGCCCGCCAACTCCAGGAGGCGCTCTTTGTCTCGCGCCCAGCTCTCGGCCTCCTCCAGCTCCTGTAGCAGCGCCCACAGGCTCCGCGAGGCCTCCAGCTCCGCGCGCCTACTCGCCGCCTGCTCCTGCAGCTCCGCCAGACAGCCGTGCACGTGGTTCACACGGTTGCAGATGACCTGTGGGTCGCATGGTTGGTACCCTGGGGCGGAAGGAGAAGATCTCAGGTTGGGCACGACAGGGAGTGTAGGAGAGTAGTGCAAGCTACCTACCCTCCCCTTGTTTTGACTTCGCTAGGTGCCATGTCACGCGGTCTCCTCCAGTCAGCCTTCCCTGACAGCCCAAGGCTGGAGCAGTCGCCTCTCTGGACCCTCTGAGGCTTCTCTGCCTCCCCAGTTACAGTGCTTACTCTGGGCCTGTTCTGCACTGGGAGCTCTGTGAGGACAGGACCTGGAGCTACTTGGGTCACACCATGTCACACCACTACCCAGCACAGGTGGGCAGAACTGTAGCATCTTGATTGTGGACACGTAGTGACTGCAGGATGGATGGATTCAGAGCACCTGAGATTTTGTATTTTTGAGTGTAACTTGTGCTGTTCTTAAGCCGCGTGCCTGGGGTCCCTCTCATCCTCTTTGCCTTATTAATCCCAGTGACACCTTGAACTGCTTTCCCTCAAATATTTCACCTGCCTCCTGGATCTCTAGTTTGTGATTAGAAAACTGTAAAATTAATTTAATGGGTGGCAGCTAGCATTTCCTTAGTGGATTTGAAAGTAGGAATTAGAATTCATAGAAAATATCAGGACCAGGGCTGGCATATGGCCGTGGTGGTTAAGAGCACTAGACTCCCACATGGCTGACTGTGGTTTGAGTCCCAGACCTGGTGGCTTGCTTTCTCACTCCTTCCATCCCCTTTCTCTCGCCCTGTCCCTCTCTGGTCAAATTAAAATAAATAAACAAAATTAAATAAAAATAGAATTCTTTTTAAACATTTTAAAATAATTATTTAATTTTGTTTATTGATTCATTAATTTTAATTTGACCAGAGAGAGACAGAGAAACTAAGAAAGCAAGCCACCAGCCCAGGACTTGAACCATGGTTGGCCATGTGGGAGTGTACAGTGCCTTAACCACAATGCCACATGCTGGTCCCCCACAATTCTTTAAAGAAAGGAAGGAAAGAAGGAAGGAAGGAAGGAAGAAAATATCAGAACCAGCAGATGGCATAATGATTACATCACTGGATTCTCACATAGTTAACTGCAGTTTGAATCCCAGACTTGGCAGCTTAAAACTCATGCTGGGCAGGTGTGTGTGTGTGTGCCCAAAATCCCAAGAGGATAATGGAGAAGAAGGGACTGCAACATGGCGATTCCCCCTGGGGGATAATTTCTCACTTTCTGTCTCTCTGGCAAGCACATGCACCCTATAGCAAAAATCTAAAAAAAAAAAAAAAAATCAGAATGCAGCACAGGAGTAAAGGAACTATTGGTTTCTAAAACTTTTGTGTCCGCATGTGTGAGCATGTGTGCATGTGAACTCTGTGTTGTGAAGTAAGTGTATTTCTTTTTTTTAAATTTTATTTATTTATTTTTTTGGAGAGGTTTTCTCTATAGGGTGCATGCGCTCGCCAGACAGACAGAGAGAGACAGAGAGACAGAAAGTGAGAAATCACCCCCCGGGGGGATGGTCACGTCGCAATCCCTTCTGCTCCATTCTCCTCTCGGGATCTTGGGCACACACGCACATGCGCCTGGCGTGAGTTTTAAGCCACCGGGTCCAGGACGCGAACCGCGGTCGACTACGTGAGAGTTCAGCGACATAGCCATTATGCTAACTGCTGGTTCCCAAGTAAGTGTATTTCTGTTTTCATAAAAATGTGTAAAAGGGTCAGCCTGTGGCATGGTGGTTAAGGTGGCTGGCTCCCACATGGCCAACTGCACAGTTCAAATCGTGGATCTGGCAGCTTGAGAAACATGGTGGGCACGTATGCGTGCATGCCCAAAATCCCAAAAGCAGACTGTCCTCCCACAGAGGGTGCTTTCTTATTCTCTCTCTCTCTTTCTTTCTCCCTTTCTTTCTGTCTGTCTCCAGCAAGTGCACACACCCTCTAGCAAAAAAAATAATAATAATAATAATTAATGGTGTGAGTGGTCAGCAGGTGGTGGCATGGTGGTCAAGGCACTGAACTCTCACATGACTGACTGTGGTTCGAATCCTGGACCTGGTGGCTTGATTTCTCACTTTTCCCCTCTCTCTCTCTCTCTGACTCTGGTGAGCGCACATGCTCTGCAGCAAATCTAAAAATAATAATGATTATAAATAAAATTAAATAAATAGTTCTCTTAGAAACAGTGTGAGGCCCAGCCTAGGTGGTGCAGTCTGTAGTATACTAGGTTGCAGTGCTGTAAGCCATGTGATTGCCCATGGTTCAATCCCCAGGTTGGCCCGAAAACACACTGGGTGCATGAGTGCACGCAGTCAACTACGTGGGAGTCCAGTAACATAGCCATTACGCTAACTGCTGGTCCCAATGACAGTTAATCTTCACAACCATCCTATGGACTATCTGCAGTCCTTCACGACCATGATAGAGTAGGACAAAACCAAGCCTGCTCCAAAATCAGGCCTGAGCACAGACAAACATAAAGTCACTGTGCAAGTTACAAAAGTGACCACACATCTCCCTCTCCCAGTTAAGGCGAATGTTGCCAATGAGCTGAAATAGCCTCCCTCTCTTCTTCACACTGCCTATGTAAAAATAATTAAGACGGGCCAGCGAGTGATGAGGATGTTAAGACTATAGATTCCACATGGCTGGTTGCACAGTTTGAATACCAGACCTGGCAGCTTGAAAATCATGCCGGGCATGTGTGCATGTGAGCCCAAAACCTCAAGAAGAGAATGGAAAAGGGATTGTGGTGTGGTCACCCCTCCTGGGGAGAGGGCGATTTCTCACTTTCCTTCTCTCTCTCTAGTGAGTACACATGCTCTATAGCAAAAAAGAAAAACAAAAAAACTAAGATTCCCAATCATCTAATTACCCCCACATGCTGACAGCATCCAATCACAGCAAAACACATTAAGAAAGCTCCTGGACTTAGGATGGGGTTGTACCCAGATAAACCCATCATCATGAGTTGAAAATATCATCAAAAAAGCATTTAATGCACCTACGCTTAGTGTAGCCTACCTTCGACATGCTCAGAAGACTTAATTTAGCTTACAGTTGGGTAAAATAATCTAACGCAAATCTTACTTTATAATGAAGTGTTGAATTTCTCATATAATTTATTCACTGTACTAAAAATGAAAACCAGAAAGGTTGAATGGTTATTCCAAGTAGTTCCCACTGAATGCATATCCCTTTTGCACCATGGTAGAAATCAAACACTCATAATAAGCCTAACCATTATACTCAAGAGACTGTCTGTGCATCGAGTTATCCCCCGAATCAGCAGCACAAGCCTAAACCCCACAACAAGCCCCTTGTAACTCTCTCCTAAGTTGCCCCACTGTTCCAGTAGTGTGTGCAAAGAGCCAACAGACCTAGCTTGGTTTGACTGCAAAGGGATTCCCAGTGACCTGTGGTTGGCTTTTACATTAGTAAAATAGTAACTCTATTGGGGACAGTATTGGTTCCTCCTCTTTCTCAGTCCATGTTTGATTTTTCCTTTTTTTAAAGAGATTTTTGCTTTAGGGTGTGTGCACTCACTAGAGAAAGACAGAGATAGAGACAGTGAGAGGGAAACTGAAATATCACTCCCTAGGGAGGATGGCCACACCACAATCCTTTCTCCTTCATTCTCCTCTAGGGATGTTGGGCACACACACACACACACACACACACACGGTGTGATTTCCAAGCCACTGGTTCAGGACTTGAACTACAGTTGGCCATGTGGGAGTCCAGTGACATAACTGTTACACCATCTGCTAGCTTCTCTCAGTCCATGTCTTTACAGGGGAATAATGCCACTCTTGGTCCTAAGGTGGGCATGTCACATAGATGTGGTCAATTAAATTACCGCATGATGATTGGCTGAGCAAAGGACCAATGAAAGCTTTCCTTGAACCTTTCGTCAGAACTATTGGAAGGGAGGGGCCTGTGTCCTGCTCAATTGGCTAAGCTACCAGAATGTAAACATGGGCTAAATGATCCCAGACTTATACCACAAGAGGAGAGATGGCCCAGCACTGACACAAACACATGGCCTAGAGACAGACAGAGATGGAGTCTTAAAAGCATCATTGAGGGGCTGGCAGGTGGCATGGTTGGGGCACTGGACTCCCCACATGACCAACAGTGGTTTGAATCCCAGACTTGGTGTCTGACTTTCTTGCTTTCCTTCCTTCTCTCTCTCTGGTCAAATTAAAATCATCATCATAATAATAATGAATAAAATTAAGTGAAATATTTTATTTTTAAAGAAAGGATCATTGGGGGCCACCAAATGGCATGGTGGTTAAGGGTACTGGACTCCCACATGGTGGCTTCTTTCTCATTTTCTCTGTCTCTCTCTATCTCTCTCACTTTGTCCCTCTCTGGTCAAAGTAAAATAAATAAATAAATAAAGTTAAATAAAATAATTCTTTTTTTTTTAAAGCATCATTGGGAACCAGCAGTTAGTGTAATGGCTATGTCGCTGGACTCCCACATAGTTGACCGCGGTTCACGTCCCGGACCCAGTGGCTTAAAACTCACGCCGGGCGCGTGTACATGCGTGCCCAAGATCCTGAGAGGGGAATGGAGGAGTAGGGATTGTGGCGTGACCATCCCCCCGGGGGTGATTTCTCGCTTTCTGTCTTTATGTCTCTCTCTGTCTGTCTGGCGAGCGCACATGCCCTATAGTGAAAACCTCTCAAAAAAAAACAAA